CAAAAACACAGAAGTAACTTCACTTAAGAAATAAACTCAGAGAGTTGCATCCCAGGAATGGAGTGGGGGGTGAAGGGGGCGGGGAGGGAGCTCTAAATACCTAGAAGGCTGGTAACCAGGGCAGTTCATCAAATATTCATAAATCCCTGAGATAGGAATAGGACCTGGTGAAATGGGAATTAACTCCGTGGTATATTTTACTTTACAATAGAGCATAGTGCTTTCAATGAACGTGTCGAGACTATAAAGCCTGTATTTTTCTTTAAGATTTATATAAGGCGATCAGTGCAGGATACACACCAACATAAACAAAATACTTCTTAGAGAAAAAGCCTAAATTCTAAAATGTCATATTATTAAGTACTTTTTTACATTTTGGGCCCCCCCACAGTTTATGTGATCATGTAAATCTGAAGTTATAATAGACATTAGAATGAAAACAGAAATAATGGCGCTCAAGGCAAATAATCCCCGACCCACGATATCTGCACCATGCAGAGAGGGGTCGGGAAACAAGTGAATGTGGGTTGTGCCTCTCTATTGAACACTTAACCGAACATGCTTATACACAATTTTGCACTGAAAGCTCCCTGTAGCATTGGCAGTACTGATGTGTGTACCTAGAACATCTGAGCTCCATTTCTGCCTCCATCGCTAAGCAGAAGATCTAGTTAAGATGCTTATGGTCTTATTTTTTTTCATCTAGAAACTTAAAATAATAATTATACCCACCTTATAGTTGAAGGCCATTTTATATAAGAATACAGTGTGGGAAATAATTGATAAACTGCAAATCACTACGTAAAGTTCATAATTACCCAATGAAGATGAATTTGTCATTTAAAAAAATGAAGAAAAAGCAATTCAGATATTCTCTAACCTTTTATAGATTCTGATATGTGTAACTAAAATTTAGTTCTTTTATTTTATTATTTTTTTTTTTACATACCTATTTCTTTTTGTCAGGGGAACTGTATTGTTGACTTCCAACCACTGGGAATCATAAAGTGATGTTAGAAATTGTTTCCAATTGATTTTGGAGGTGGTTTTAAGTCCAAATCTGGATTTAAAAAAACAAAAAATTATTTTAAACATTTTTTCTATAATGTTGCACAGATTAGATGTTTAATATTGAATTAAAGATGGCAGCAATGAATTTATATGAAGTTTCAAATCTAAAGTAAACAAAATAATTTAGTAAAATTGTACTACAAATTGACTTTTAAAAAGCAAGGAAAATCAAGCTGATTCTATATCTCCATGTCTCTGCATTCCCTTAGCAGTAGCATACATTGAAGGAAGAAACAAAGGAATTCGATTAAAATTCTCATGTCCACGAAATAATTCTTTCAAAGTCACTATTTGGAGAATTCAGTCACTGTGGGAGGCAGAATAAAGGCCTGGAAGGCGTCCACATCCTAATCCCTGGGATCTGTGAGTGTGACCTCAGAGGGCAAAAAGGGACTCTGCAGATGTGATTAAGGGTGTGGACACGGACATGGAAGAGCACCCAGCTTAACTATGTGGCCCATCTAATCACAGGAGTTCTTAAAATCAGAGCATTTCTCCCAGCTGCATCCAGAAAAAGATGCGAGGACAGGAGAAGGGCCAAAGAGGAGACAGTAGATACAGGAAGGGCCACCTGCCCAGGAACGCAGGTGCCTCTAGAAGCTGGAAAAGGCAAGAAACAGACCCCCCATTTCTCCCCTAGGCTTGTGGTACTTTGTTATGGCAGCAGTTGAAAATAATTGATAATTATTTTCAGGACTGATAGTACTGGTCACCAGCAAGTGTTCAACCCCAAATCCTTCCCCGCTGTCCATGTGACTTACACACTAAGCATCAGCCACGTTTCCATAACAGGGTGGCAAGAAGTATCTGGGCTGAGATCCTTAAACAACAGCTATGAGATGCAAAAGTGGGAGACACCACAAGACAGACTACCCTGTTTGGATAGCTAAAATTAGTGGCTGTAAGGAATCTGGTCTCGTGTGGATCAGATGTGGGCCACGTGAGAAAGTTTAAGTGTGTGTGTGTGTACGTGCACGCACACACACGTGCACACGCATGCACACGCACACACACGGGGTCATCTGGCCATACTGGCCCTTCAGCTCTTCAGAAGGGTTATGCTTTTCCTTGTCCTAGGTCCCTCATGCTTGCTGCTTCCTTTGCCAATTGCCACACTCCCCACCACACTGCCCATGCTTTAGCTCATTCTGCACCTCTTTCAAGTTCAACTTATTCATTACTTTCTCAAGGAAGCCTTCTCCGATTTCCATAACCAGGGCTCTATTAGCCTGTCTCATAGCACTGTGCCTCCTTCCCTTATAGCACTTACCACTAAGGATTAATATTATTAGCATTTAACATTTGCACAGGATTTTGATCATGACTGTGATTATAGCAAATGCTTGATAAATGGTAATTACTTCTACTTCTGCTCTTAGCACCATGTATGTGTTTGTGAGAGAGACATTGGTTGATTGATTGATTTTCATTAGGTATACAGGCAGCATCAATAAGTACACTGGGACAGTGGTCTAATGCTCTGCTGTTCACCATACAAAACAAAGTTTCCTGTTTTTTCCCAGCCTGCCTTCCCCCAGTTGCCCACGATTTTGATAGTTTGTTAGGCATATATTCACCTTAAATTCTGGCAAGTTAGAAATTAATTTTCTATAATAGAAACACATTGCCTACCATTACAAGTTGAATCAGCTTCATATATTTTGTTTAGGAAATTACCTTACTCTCTTGGAAAAAAAATCAAATTAGATCTTCACTCCATACGAAATACTAAAATAAATTCAAAATAGCTGAAGAAGTGAAACATAAACACTAGCACCATTAAAAAAGGAAAATCCAGGTACATATTCACCTGGTATTGGAATAAGAATGGATTTTTAAGCAACATTTAAGAGGGGGAATCATAAACTTCCCCAGTTAATAACGTCAACATAAAAAACTTCCATACACCAGAAATACTGAAACAACAATTTAAGAGCCAAACAACAGACTTGCAAAGTTATCTATCATAAATATGCATAAAAAATTGGTGATTTTCTTAAAACATTAAGTAAAAAAACCTAAAACTTGATTTCTTCTTCCAGTGATGGTGGAGTTAAGATCTTAGTGGACCAATCCCCCGGCAGACAGTCACAATAAGCTCTGGGCATAATACAAAGAGCAGCTACCTAAAAGCACTACAGAGTGAACAGAAGTGGGCACACTCTGGTAGGGAATCCATGATGACAGGAGTGGAGCTGTGAAGAGTATTTTCAATGCTTTCAGCCTGGGGCTAGGCACTGCAGCATGACCGGTGGCAAGCACATCAGTTAAAAAAAAAAAAAGTATGTCCTGGAAAACTAGAAGACCAAACCCAGGGGAACCATAACCCTAGAGAGAAAGAAGAAATCCTAGAAAAGAAAGAACCAGAGAGGGATCCCCAAATTCTGTCCTACCACATTTTTGACCGGCTCTGAATCTCACACGATCAGAACCTACTCAAAATTGCTTAGCTAAACACAAAAGATCTGAACTAAGATCAGAGCTGCCACCTAAGAAACAGAATAGGCAGTTTGAGTCCAACCAAGATAACTGCCTCTAAAACAAAAGAAACAACATTCATTGAAAAAATAATAGCAGAATTTAGAGTCTTCACAATTTAATATTCAAAATGCTGAGTGCACACGCGCTCTCTCAAATGAATAAGTCTTAAAAAATAAAAATAATGGGCGCCTGGGTGGCTCAGTTGGTTAAGCGACTGCCTTCGGCTCAGGTCATGATCCTGGAGTCCCGGGATCGAGTCCCGCATCGGGCTCCCTGCTCAGCAGGGAGTCTGCTTCTCCCTCTGACCCTCCCCCCTCTCATGCTCTCTCTCTCTATCTCATTCTCTCTCTCAAATAAATAAATAAAATTTAAAAAATAAAATAAATAAGATATAAAATAAAATAAAATTATAGAGCCTATTTTAAAAAACAGGAAAATGGAACATTACTAGGGAGAAAAGTCTGACATACATGCAATTGGAATCACATGAGGAGAGGAGAGAATGAAAGGCCAAAATTTCCCCAAATTTTATTAAAGATATCCATTTACAGATTGAAGATGTTAAACAAAAATGAAGTAGAATACACATGAAAAAGGCCATGCCAAGGCTCATTACAAAGTCAAATTCAAGGAGTAAATCTTGAATGCAACAAGAGAAAAATTACTCATCACATGCAGGAGAACAACAATTTAACTTCTCATCCCAAATCATGGAAGCTAAAAGAAGTGGAACAACATCATGAAGTGCTAAAAGAAAAAAAAAAAGTCACCCAAGAATTTTTCATCTAAGAAAAATTCCTCAAAAATGAAGGATAAATGCAGATATTTCTAAATAAAAGAAAGCTAAGGGAATCTATCTTTAGCACACCTTGATAAAGGAAGTTCTTCAGGCTGAAGGGAAATGATAGCAGATGGAGACCTCAACTCCTCAGAAAAGAATGAAGAAAGTATCAGAAATGGTAAATATTTGAAAAAATACAAAGGTTAATTTTTTTGCCTTTTCTCTTCTTAATTTATTCATAGTTATATAAAGCAAAAAGGTAATAACATTGTTTTGTGAAGTTTATTACATAGGTAAGTATAACACATATAATACCCACAGTATAAAGGACACAGAGGGCAGAATGTAGACCCATATTGCTTACATAGGTTCTACATTTTATGTGAAGTGGTGCAGTGTTAATTGTATGCAGGCTGGGAGCAGTAGAGATGTATACTATAACCCCCATGAAAAATTATACAAAGAAGTATAGCTTAAAAGACCATAAGAAAATTAAAACTGAATTCTAAAAAATATTCCAATTATCTGAAAAGAAGAAAAAGAGCAAACAAGCAGAAAGCAAAAAAACACAGACACACACACACACACAAAAAAATGGGAGGCCCAAATCCAAATATATCAATAATTACTTTAAATATTAATCGACTAAACACTTTAATGGACTAAACACAATCGGATTTTTTAAAAAAGATCCAAATTTATGCTTTCACAAAAAAGGCAAATTTACTGTTTTGTTTTTTTAGGGAGAGAGAGAGAGAGAATGTGCAAGTGGTGGTGGGGAGAGGGACAGAGGGATAGGGAGAGAGAAAATCTTAAGCAGGCTCCACACTTAGTGGAGATCATGACCTGAACCCAAGTCAAGAGTTGGATGCTTAACCAACTGAGCCACCCAGGCACCCCAAAAGGCACATTTAATATAAAGACACATACAGGTTGAAAATAAAAGGACACTGGGGCACCTGGGTGGCTCAGATGGTTAAGTGTCTGCCTTCAGCTCAGGTCATGATCCCAGGGTCCTGGGATCGAGTCCCGCATCGGGCTCCCTGCTCCGCGGGAAGTCTGCTTCTCCCTCTCCCACTCCCTCTGCTTGTGTTCCCTCTTTCTCTGTGTCTCTCTCTGTCAAATAAATAAAATCTTTGAAAATAAAAGGACACTATCTTAAGCCACATGATCAAGGTCAACCTCAATGGTGACAAGTCATATTGATACTATGCACCCTTGATAGGATGTGACAAGAATGATACTTTACCTCTGTGGTCTTCCAAAAACACATTACCCCAGTCTAATCAGTCAAATCCCAGTTGAGGGACACTCTATAAAATATCTGACCAATAATCCTCAAAACTGGCAAGGTCATTAAAAAACAAGGAAAGTCTGAGAAAGTGTCAGAACCAAAAGGAGCTTAAGGACATATGACTACTAAATATAATGTAAATTAAGCACCTAAATAAATGGAAAGATATAGATATACCATGTCCATGGAATAGAAAACTGAATATGGTTAAAGTGGCAATTCTCCCCACTGTATTCACAATCAAATTCCTAACAGGCTTTTTTTTAACATTGAGAAACTGATTCTAAAATGTATAGAAAGGTGAAGACTCTAGAATAGTCAAACAATTTTGAAAGAGAAGAACAAGTCTGGAGGACTTGCACAACCTAATTTCAAGACTTAACTATTTAGCGGGGTGCCTGGGTGGCTAAGTCGTTAAGCATCTGCCTTCAGC